ACTTGATTCAGTGTCAACTCATTTGCAGTCTACAAAAGAACAACATGACTGCTATCGTACTCAATAAATCTCAATAAAACAGGAGTTCAGAACATTCATGAAGGGATCATGAAATATCCCAGAGAAGCATCTTGTATTATTGGTGAATCCAAAGCATCCCGTTGTCATCTGGCACCCCTGCGGTGCTTCGCATAGATAGATGACCTCAGTGTTTATTATCTTGAGATGTTTATCTCACAATGCTCAAATCTATAACGGCAGGCATTAAGGAGGGAAAGAAAATAGTGGATGAATGCATCTAGTTGAGACAAATACAACCACTCAGTGTTCAACCACCCCCCGCCAACTTTTGAAATTCCTCCGCCAAGACTAAATATACAACAATGAGGGACATCAAAGAATGAGAAAGGAGCCGGTCCATGTGCAACCCCCACTGCAGCGACACAGTGAAAGGACTCCATTTTCCCAGTTGCAACAAAAACTAACTCACTGAAAATTAGTTCCAATTATTTACAGCAACTGACCAAGCGTGTTTTTCAAGCATTAAATGGTTGTTAAAACACTGCCTCGGGATATAAATCATGGTAATTCTAAAAATGGAGACGCTGGTGTGTGTCTTGTGTAACGTTATGTCAAATGTCATCGTCAAATAACAGCCATACGAATTACATTTTTAACTACATGTGCACTGGTGGTCCTGTCGCTTGAACTATCAACTTCTTTATTATCAGTAACCTCTCGCATTTTTTCATTCATCAACGATACCCTTGAAGACCCCAGATAATACCTCCACAAACAGCAATAATTTACCTCAATTTAGTTCCACACACGCTTACACACACACACAAATAACACCCCGTGTGGCTTCACATATGCCAGAAACCACCACAGGGCATGTGTAGAAACAAAGTAAATGTAATTCAGCCATCCATCCATTTTCTAATCCGCGTATCCTCACAAAGGTCATAGGCGTGCTGGAACCTATCCCAGCTGTCTTCGGGCAGTAGGCGGGGGACACCCTGAACCGGTTGCCAGCCAATCGCAGGGCACAGAGAGACGAACAACCATTTGCGCTCACACTCACACCGAGGGACAATTTTGGAGTGTTCAATCAGCCTGCCATGCATGTTTTTTGGAATGTGGGAGGAAACCGGAGTACCCGGAGAACACCCACACAGGCGCGGGGAGAACATACAAACTCCATACAGGAAGGCCGGAGCTGGAATCGAACCCTGCACTGCGAGGCGGACGTGCTAACCAGTCGTCCACAGTGTCGCCCTAAGTAAACATAAATGTTATTTTAGTTAGTGGTAGAAGGCAAAACCCCTGCAGCAAGGTGCTACTCAGCAAAGAGTCAGAAACCCGCCTCCCCGGAGCTGCTTTGTGATTTTTAAGTCGCTGAAACAGGGAGGCCCACGTACAACGCGCAAGCACTTTACCATCAAGTGGGTACAACAATATGGGTGACAGTAAATATGCAGTATTTGACTACACAGAGACTTATCAGTGCTCATGGGCAAGTTTTTGCTGCAGCAACCGTTCTAAGCACAGTAGGAACTAAATGGGTTTGGTCGGGACCACCAAAGAGACCTCAGGATTGTTGGCCATCACAATTGGTCCACCACTTCCTTGTCCCTCTGCTCCAAGGTCAGGAACCGCTGAAACATGTCTCCCATCAGGAAGCCGAAACGATTATGGGATTTACGGAAACATGGCATACAACATTGCCATTATACAAGACTTAACGATGGTTTTGATTTATGATGTGTCTGTTGAGTCAATCCGAAAAAAGCTTTTTTTTTCTTCTTAAGGCTTTCCAGCCATCGTGGTTCCATTCACATTCAATCAGAAACACTGAAGAAACATTTTGGGTTCTGTCAGAGTGACGCCCATGACTAAATATCGTCTGTCGGTGAAAAAGCACAACTGAGCCTTCCACAGATGTTTCTGAATTCAAAATAACGTGTGAACCAAGGTAAGTTTCTTGTAAAATTAAGTTTGTAAACAAAATTCTTTGTAAAGCTGGTCATTTGTAAACCAGTGTTCCACTGAACACTATTTTGTTCATTTTGTATAGAGCATATATTTTGCATTTTATGCAAAATGGTATAATTTCCAAATCGATTCTCTTTCCAATAATTTTAAATAATTTGGGGGATTTTTGGAGGGGGGTTTGTATCCAAATGCCCCCCGACCACCATCACCACTATTTTCCATATCATAAGTTACTAGCATTTTTGGGGAGTATTTTGAGGGTTTAATTGTTCCCCGCTCCCCAATGCATTTCAAAGGACGTCAATTATACGGAAATTCGTGTGCTGGTTCAGGCCCAATCCCTGTACAGTAAATAAACAAATTACTTCAATAGATTGGATGGATTGATCGGATCAGTGATTGGTTGTCATTTCTTTGAAACTCACTGATTGAATCCTGATCGTGTCACACCAAATTTCATAGGTGTAAGTTTGTTGGAAAATAGCTTTTTGAATTATTTTTGTTGCATTGCATGCAGGTCTGTTGTGTTCTTTCCCATGATGGACTGTGATTGTGTCCATTGTACTTCAATATTACTGTATATTTGGAGAAGTTTGGGTCAATAGAAGTAACAGGCTGTGAGCAAAAGTTTGAAAAATCCTTCCTCAAAAGAAGATGTTTATTCCATGTGAAATGATTCCCACTGGACAGACACAAGGCTTCAAGTACTGCGCTGTATCGTTCATTTCCCTCCATTGCCTCACACTGGGAATGCAATTTCTCTCTCGTAGCCTGCAATCATCCATCTTAGGCTGTCTCCCATGTGCAACACTTCAGGCCTTCTCATCAATGAGCAGCCCCCACTAACGGCACCGACCCCCTTTTGTGCCTGCTCGGCCATTAGGAGGCTGAGACAGAAGGAGGGCGAAGCAGGCAGTAAAACAGTTTCCTCCCCGTGAATCACATTCGGGCCCTCACACGGGCCACTGGGGGGGCTGACCCCTTCCAGGCAATGACATAAACACTGGCAGACAAAGGGCCTGCAGCGAGAGAGGATCTCCGGGGTTGGATGTCGACAAAATGGATGGCATTAATCAAAGTGTACAGATATCACGAAACAAAGGCCCGTGACGCTTTGTGATGAAACAATTGCCATTCGTTCTGCAGCAAGACAGTTGGCGTGGAACAGGTGTAAGAGCTGAATGGATACAGAAGCAGCTCCCTCCTTTCCTGAGTGCAAGATGGGATTAAAACGGGTTGAGGCAACAAAAGAGATTGGCCACAGAGGATGACATCATGTCATCGTAATTACAGATGAGCTGAATATATTTCATGAGTCAGGAAAGTGCATTCTCAAGGGATGTACATGATCAAGCTTTCCGTTTTAGGATATTCCCTTCACAAGTTTCCCCTGGTAGCCCTATAAATTGTGAGTGAGGATTTTTTTGAAAGAACCCCCCCCCCCACCCCAGTTCTATCAGTGTGTGCGGATCCCTGTTTGATTTCAGTAGGCGAGGGGGAAAGCCCACACAAAGAGTCGCAATCACACTGGAGATCCTGCATGTAACCATGGAAGCGTTTTGTCTCCGTCGTCAATGGGCTCGCCGGCCATTCATTTACTGATCGCGTTGAATCAATATTTAGGCTTTTCGGGGTTATTAGCTGCTTCGAGGAGGAGGAGACAAGAACGAGGTGAAGGGGGCGATTAGCACAGTGCGAAAGAAAATTAGCACTTTTTAATGGTGTTCTATAGTGTGGTGTAATATGTCTGCTCGTCCTGTCTGGCTTAATTGGGGAGTGACGACTCAATACTTTCCCCCCTTTATTAATTAACCACACTACCACTCGATAAGAAATATAAACTTGAGGGTTTATAAATATTCAGCCGCAGCGTAAACATTTATACATAATAACATTACTTTTAGAAGTAAATGCAAGATAAAAACAACTTACCTGACCACTCCAAGTCCATGATTAATTATCGCGACGTCCTTTTACTCCGGTAAAACATGAATAAAAAAACACTCGCTGTTCTTCCGTTGAATGGTGTTCAAAAGTCGGTTATCCCTTCCAATGAGGCGGCGGTGGGATCCGAGGTAGTAACATGAGGTGGAGCGGGTACTCCATCTAAATAACAGAGACTGTGGTGGGTCAAAGTAACGGTTCTCCTCTCTCTCCCCACCGGTGTGCTGCGGCCATGTGAGGGATACGCACACGGGAGCGCGCACGCTGACCCGGTCCAAAGATTAGCTAGTTGTTGCGCGTGCACCTCCAGATCGTATCGTGGTGGCTGAACCTAATGAGACTGGATGTTCAATTTAATCCCCTGTTCAAATGTGTTCGCTTTTTTTGGAGGCCGACGGCGCCACCGTGTGAGCCAAACGCGGACTCGTCAGTGTAGTCATTCCACTTGAACTTCATTTGGAAACGAGTTAGCATTATAACCAAGGAGGACCTTTGAGACTGACACATTTTACATCAAAAAGTTGAGATTTTTAATTTAATTTTGTGTTCTGTACTAAGTTCGGCCGACATTATGCTATTTGAGATGTGGAAGTCGTGAAACAACGTGTTTATTCTGATACTAGTCACTGTTTCAGCCTCCAACGAAGAGGACAAGATGCTGAGACAAGATGCTGGTAGTAACACTGAAAACATGCAAAATGTTCAATGTAATTATGTAAATAGAATGTACATGATCAAATTGTTTGACTGTCTTTCAAAAACCATTTAACTAATGCTCAATTAAAAAGTAATGAATATATAGTAATTAAATAACAATACGTGGGGGGGGTGGATTAAGACCAAACATATTGAACTTAAAAGTAAATTACAACTTAACTGTATTCTTCCATTTACCTTGACAATGAGTAGTGTAGTCCATATTTAACAAACATGACACTCAAATCTAATTTCTCCGAGTTCCCTCCGAGTATTCTTCGTTGGCGAAATCCCGCCTCGGTTTGTTTTTTCGCGCTATCTCGCGATAACTTGGGCATCGCCTCTCAGACGCGTTGACGTCATGACGTCATGTTGTGTTGACGTGGCCGTGAGCAGCGGTAGCAGGCAGCTCAACAGTACAGTACTTAGTATGTGTCGAAGCTGCGCTAGTCGAAGGTGTGATTGACGATTACCTCCCGTAATCATGGATTTAACTGACTGATTGCTGTTCACTTATTCAGGTAAAGCTGGTTGTTTACATCCATCTGTATGTGTCACTGTAAACTAGATCGCAGATCGATTAAATTGTGATAACCTAGCACCTTTACGCTATAGTAGACGCGTGTTAGCATTAGCCGAAGCTGCACAGATTGTGTTTTAGTTTGCTTCGTTGTTTTTACAGTGGAACTTAAACGTTTCCTTGCACTTTTATCACAGGGCTAACATTACAACTGATGTACGTCGCCTCTCCTACAAGCAGTGCATATTTAGGGTGCACAACTAGAGTGATTGTGCTTGGACATGTTTTTATTTGTTCACAGCCTTGCACTGTGTGAATTGAAGCCACGATTTGTCTTTTTGAGGTCCCACATGTCCCAAGAGTAACCTCAGTGTAATAAAACATCCACATAGACACACTGAAGAGTGGTAATCGTGTGTTACGTAAGCACAAAGGCCTTTGAGATTCTACCTTGTAGTTCTAAGTATATTTTACTTTGACGTGTTGACCAAAGAATCACACACACACACACACGAATGCACATTATATAATTTCACGTTATGTAATGTAGGCAATGCTTCATGGTGGTTCTGAGATGCTAACCATTATGTTTCCTTTCCCCAATGTAGTGAAGATGACTAGTCGAGGCCAACACTATGGCTTCCAGTCGAGTATCATGGTTCAACCCGCCAATGGAGGTCATGCATACCTGTTTGGGACCGCCGGTTCCGAGAATGAACAGTCCGAGGAGGACGGGGATAGCTACGAGCTGCGACCTCGTGGCAGGACTCGGAGGAGCACCTCAAAGGAGAGGATGGATGATATTGTCTACCTGAGCAGAGACATCCAGGAGGGTGACACCCTAAACAGCATTGCCTTGCAGTATCATTGCTCAGTAAGTTTGCACTCACACTCGAAAAGCAACGATTTTGATTCTCAGCTGAACTGGGCTATATTATTTATTGGTGGTTCAACAATCTCAAACAGTACAACAACTCAAGTTGACATCATCCAACTGGCCTGAGCCAGTTGAAGAGCGTGTAAACTCAATGAGCCTCCCATGCAACCACATACCTGGGGGACGTTTGTCGAGTCAACAAGCATCTGTTTTGTTACCTGTATTTAGTCACGGTCGTGGCACATTGCAGCCAAGCTTGACTCATTTACTGGCTCGAGACTGAACCTTTCTCACCTTTGACTGAACCGCACCAGAGTTTATTGAAAGGTGCAACGAGACCACCTAGAAGACATCCAGTTGATTAAGATAAACAAAAATGCATGAAACAAACTCGTGTTGGATGAGAGTGCATTTTCTGTGCATCCAACAAAACGAACTGGGGCCATGCTTATTTTTTGGGGGTCTTTGATGTAGTGTTTCGAAATCAGCTGACAGCTAAGATGTATCACTCAAGACTGGTTGTTTAATTTTGCATTTGATGTGCACTTTAACCCTTTCAGGGACAGCGGTTATGACAGCGGACAGCTTATCATGTTATCATTATTGGTGCACGAGAGGGTTAATAAAGCAGCTATCAACGGAGCTTGTCTGTGTTTTCAGGTGGCCGATTTAAAGCGCTCAAACAACCTCCTGACCGAGCAGGACTTGTTCGCCCTGCGCTCCGTGAAGATCCCCGTCAAGCGCTTCAGCATGCTGACTGAAACTCACAACACTGGACCTCTCAGACAGGCCTCTCCCGCCGAAGCCCGACGCCCGACCCAGATCTCGGCCTGCTCCGCCTTCCCTATAGAGTCCTCCACGGACTCGTCCTCTTCCACGGACAGCGTGGAAGGGTTCCTCATGGAGAAGGACAAGGATATCGAGCAACTGGTCAAATCGACGGGGCCGTCGAGGAGCAGCCTCAACGAAGTGGTGTCCTCTTTAACGCTCCAGCTGAAGCAGCCCTCGCTGGGAAAAGTGGAGTACAAACTCGTGGGGAAAAAGGACCCTTATTACGGAGCCGACTGGGGCATGAGGTGGTGGACGGCGGTGGTCATCATGCTGGTGGTTGGCATCATCACGCCTGTGTTCTACCTACTGTACTATGAAGTTTTAATGAAGGCCGAAGTGAGCCATCACGGAACGCCCACAGATGTTCCTGGCTACATGCTTCACGCGCACGACCACGGCCACGCTCACCTCGAAAAAAGTCACGCAAGAGCTGGACCCACGCATCATGCTGCTGGAGATGTGCCCCATGAAGCTCCACAAGGACTCAAAGTGGACAGTGCACAACATGGAAAGACATGACAAAACTTGTTTTAATCTAACCACATGATTCCTAAATGCAATCTCGAGCGGGAAAGTCACTTTAGAGCGGTAACACGGATTTATACATTTCTATTAATTTAACTGATCTGGACGTGGTTTCCTCTCATCCATGCTGCTGCCTTTATGTGAGGACACACTCACCGTTTTGTTGTTTGAAATGTGGACAACAATACATTTCCATGACTTGGCTGGGCCTGTAACACCACAAAGGGTTTAATTTTGCTCTCTCGGGTATGAAAACAATTGCTAGGTGTCTCAGTGTGCGTTGACAAGCTTTTGTCAAAACATCCCAATGCTCAAGAATTCTAACTCACACCCTAGATTTTGCCAATGGCGAGTCATGCTTTTGTTACCTTGACGACCAGCCCGAGCCTTGCGACGAGCTTGGCTTTTACGTGTGGGAGCAGATCCCGGAGTCTAGCAAAAAAAAAAAGGGAGCGCCTGTAAAGACAAAAGTGTTTTCACTTGAAGAGGCAGATCTTCATACCGTGTGATTGTGACACATGTACACCACCAGACAGACACAACACAGCCACTGTTTGCAACTTCACCAAGCAATCAAGTATGGGCCGTTTACCAGAAGCTAACACTGTTAGCTAATGCTAATCTGTCCAATGACACTCAGTGCAGCTCTGCTTACCTTTTGGCTTTCACATGATAGCAGCGGGGTGGTAGTGCCTCTCTGGATGATCGTCTTTCTGACAAGCTGGATCTTAGCACAGACCAGCAGCCAGTGAGGGCTGGCGCCATTGGTTTGGATGTGGATATTATGTAAATTAGATAACAGCTCCAAAGATCCACATTCAAATTTTCCATCATGTCTCATTTAAAAAGATTTTATTTCTTTATCCATGTCGCATAATACATTTGTTGGTGAAAATGATTGCCCGCATTGTGTTACATTTGGATTAAATAATATATTTCAGGACTATTGTGCCATTGTACATTATTAGTGTTGAACGCCTTTAATTGGATGGCCTGGAGAGTACTGCATTCAAAAAAGCTCAGTGAAAAATTTCAGAGTTGCACAGAATCCCCACAATATGAGGATTTTTTTTTTTTTGTGTGAAAGTCCTTTTACTTCACCACTTGTGTAGATTTTGGAAAATCGTTCTCTGACAGTATGTGCCTTTTAACCTGTGTAATTGTGTTTCAAGGTTGGAGAATAAATAAATCTATTTTCAAATATTGTCCACGTGCATACATTTTGGCATTTGTAATTTACACTGCTCTATAGTTTTTTTTTTTTTAAACATTGTAACCAAATGCATCACTCTGGATCCGTAACCTAAAGTAACAAGTTGAGTCAGTATGTTGCTTCGCCATCCATATTGTCATCGCTGCCTGCAGCAAAGTCTTCACCGTTGTCGAAGTAGCTCTCAATGTAGTCATTATCCTACAAAAGAATACAATCTCCATTTATCACATTCTGACCCAAAGGAATTTTGGTGTAACATTTAGAAATAACTTGCCTCCACTTCATCTTCTTCATATTGCTCCTCTTCAATCTCCTCCTCCTCGCCTTCATTGTCTTTGTTCTTGGGTTTCTCCTCATCTGATTTGTCACCGTCATCTTTCTTTTCCAGCTCCTGACGTGTTGACATGAACAGTCAATTTATGCGGAACAAGCAATTCGTCATTCTACCAAAACAAAATGCACACAACCACTCACGTTCAATTTGGTCAACACATCTTGTGCATCTTTGTTGGATATTTTCTTTCTTTTCTTCTTTGGACCTGTTGGATTTCGCCAAAGAGAATTTGTATTCAAACCCTGGCCAAGTTTGAAATTATTACTTGTTTTATTTGTTGAATGGGTCAACAAAATTCGACTAATTATAGTGTACTGCATGTAAAATTTAAATAAAAATTGTCTATAAAAAGGTTCAAAAACCTTCTTAGATGAAATGCAAATGTATTTAACGTAAACGTTAAATACAACTGAATTGTACTTTAGGCGGTGATTCTTTTGCACACCACTAGAGGGAGCCCACCGACCACACTGAAAATCGCAACTGTACAATAACCATTTAAAAAAATGATTCAAAATCTGATATTAATATCAGACATTGTGTCATTCCCAGCCATAAGATACCCAATCAACAAATTCACTTAATTCAAAACAGTAATATTTATTTCAAATGTAAAATACTACACCTGTGTTCACTCTGGTTTTCTTCTGTGGCATCAGCTCCTTCGGAAAGACATTCCAATCTTAAAATATGAAACATGCAGATTATTAATATCAAATGTCTTACTCCTGCAATAGGATTAAAAAAAATAACATATACCTGGTGTCCATTCATCATCCTGTGTCTGTTTCTGCTTCATGTATCTCTGTGTGTATTTCTCCACATCTGCTTGGAGAAAACGAAACACGCTCAATTCTTTTAGCCCAAAGTAATTTTCATCAGACACACCCTCCCTTACCCTGGGCAAAAAAACCTGACTAGCATAGGTTTACACTGAACACCCACATGATATTTTAACATTACGTGTTGAGATAAATGGGTCATTTTGTCCAAGCAGTCCACAGAATCATTCCTCCATAAATCTACCTCCCTCTTCCCCTCACACGAGGCTTATTAAATGACCCACTTGCTGAGTGCTGCATTGTGTTTCTCTGCAGCGGCCAATTTTCATAGATAGATCCCCTCTTTCCAAAGTCAGGTTTAAAAAGCACTCACCTGCCTTATTGGACTGAAACTTGATGTTGTGAGGCCTCTGCTGCATAGTTCCCCTCATCTCCTGTTTGAGAGCCAGCATGTAGTCCTCGTCCTCGCCGACTTTCAGGGGGATTGGCTTGAAGTCTGCCGGCTAGAAAGAGAAATGTGCTGTTACATCTTGTCAATGTATCACTTCAACATGGGAAAAAAAAAATTGTTGACAAAGCTTGTGTGCATTTCAGCAATAAAGACTCTCCACGCTTCACTTTTTCATCCACGGATAGATGAGGAACTGTGCAGAACTTCTTTCTTTCAATAAATAAATATACACTGTATTCAATTTATTATTACAGCTTGGTGGTGGCCAGTTGAATTGCGGTTATATTTGCAACCATTTTTGTTGGGAAAGCTCATGTGATATGACTTGGTATTATTTTGCATTTCCATTCACCTGCGATTCAGATCCTGACAAACATTGAAATATTGAATCACAGGAAAACTTGTAGCCAACAGTTGGCCACTCATTAAAAATAATTCCTGAACCACTTCACCATGATGTCAGACTACTGTCATGAAATCCAAAAGTCTCAGTAAGACCACTACCAACACTTCACAACCTATACCGTAATACCACCCTATCCTAACATTTGCTATCATTGGGCTAATCTTTTTCAATAAATCTGCCAGGGGAGGCCAAACTGGAAAAGGTGCCAACCTGTCAGAAATAACATTTACTGTAGCTGCAGCAACAACAATTATGTCGATAATGGCAACCAAGGGAGGGTGAGGCGCTGTTGCAAGATGCAATTATATTGCTATGTTGGTGCTATGTTGCAGTGTCATGTATTATATGTCATACTGCACGACTCCATCCATCCTCTACCGCTTATCCGAGGTCAGCAGCGGCTGCATCCTTCTCCACCATGACACTGACACAGTCTGTGTGTGTGTGTGTGTGCGTGTGTGTGTGTAGTGGACACTTACTGGAAAAAGTGGATTGGGCGCCACCCTTGCTTCTGGCATGCTGCCCCTGCCGATGCCCAGTGCGTCAATGTTGAAGGTGAACGCGGCCACCCCACGCCCCTTCCCCGCCATGGGTGCCAACCACCTCTACACCTGCAGCACACAAGCGCGCGCGCGCGCGCGCGCGCACACACACACACACACACACACACACACACACACACACACACACACACACACACACACACACACACACACACACAAATACGATGTCATGCTGGTGAACTGATTACCCACTGCTGTTCTTCCAACCTAGAATAATTCCGTAGGAAAAATGATCATGCTTACTAAAGAGGTCGTTGGGTATTGTCAAGATAACCCAAAAGTATGCGGCGTGTAATTTTGAGAGCTAGCTGGTCATGCGCGTCCGCATTACGTTCTTATACAAAACTGTAGTCAATAAAGTGACAAGTGCAAGCTTTGCTAACATACTAGCCTCTGATCGCACGTGCTTTACTGATTTTATAGTTCCCCGCCCATTACGTGGCGTTACGTTATTTTTCGACCAATAGCCGCCGACATGAGGATTTTTCTTTTCCGCACCTTCGTCCAATCACAGCGCTCTGCTCCTCCACGGGTGTGTCTGCGGCCGCCCCTTGAACATCAATGAAAACATATCCGCTCTCCGCTGAAGCTAGCAGCTCCACGGGCACAAAATCAACCTGACAGCTCGATTAGCGCCTCATCCACGCGTGAAACGTGCATGAATTGGGATGTCCGCGGCTGACTGGTACGCTCACAAGTCGCTCGGAGACGGACTCTACTGGATCCAGGAACGGTTCTACCAGTCGCAGAATCGGGCTAACATATGGCTACTGCGCGGCTCCCACCAGGACGTGGTGATCGACACGGGACTCGGCCTGAGGAGCCTTCCGGATTATATCGATGCCATGGGGCTGCTGGGCAAGGACCCCCAGCGGAAGAACCCGCTGCTGGCCATCGCCACCCACGCCCACTTCGACCACTCGGGCGGCCTCCATCAGTTCCAACAGGTGGGCGTCCACAGCGCTGAGGTGGAGGCTCTGGCCAACGGGGACAACTACGAGACGGTCACCTGGCTCAGTGACAGGGAGATAGCCGAGGCTCCGAGTCCCGGGTGGAGGGCCAGTCAATATAAAGTCAAGGCTGTACAGCCCACGCACATCTTGCAAGAAGGTAAGACGGGGGGGTCTCGAGCTTGGGGCGGGGATCTCATGGCTGGAACCTAGCCTAGCAGACTTCGTCTGCGAATCGGGGTATGCACTGGATGAGTTGCCACTCAGTCCGCTATTCACACTCACTTCCACACCTTTGGGCAAACGTATACATTCACACTGCGGTGCCTTCAGTTGACATACTAGCTAATGGAACTATCCAGAACGCAGATGTTAAACTCAAGGTGCACGAAAGCCTGCCTCGTCATAATAAACTAATTTGTAGAAATTTGACCCTAATGAGGATAAGCCACGCAGAATATGAATGGATGGACACAGAATACTCTGCACTGTGCCAATAAACATCTCTATCTTCATGCTCCTCGGTGAGTGTTGATAGGGAAAAGGTTTCACCACTCTTTCCTTAAAAGCATCACCATCGATCACAATGCTATTAGACTGAGTTTAAAAGATGCACGGTAAAAGTAGTGGAGTGACTACACTTCCTTTGGCAGAAATACTAAAACAGCATTTGTTCCTGTGAAGGCTTCGTGTACAGGTGAAAGAGGCCGCACCCAAGATGGGTCCTTTATCAAGCATGGGAACTTCAGCTTTTGCGCACCTACAGTCCACACACACACACACACACACACACACACACACACACACACACACACACACACACACACACACACACACACACACACAGGTTCAGCTGTGTCAGACCACTGCAGTGCAGCTGGACTGTTTCGCTGCATGGTGTGTGTGTGTGTGTGTGTGTGTGTGTGTGTGTGTGTGTGTGTGTGTGTGTGTGTGTGTGTGTGTGTGTGTGTGTGTGTGTTTCACCTCCATTCATGACTCATACTGTATGCTATCCTATAAGATAGACGCTAGTTTTTTGGGGGTAGGGGTGATCCATGGTTAGAAGGAAGATATTTGGCAAAATACCTGCACAAAATAGAATTTGTAATTGTAACATAGAGTTTAGAAGACAGGTAAGTAGAGACAGTCCAAATTCATAATCCAGCTGTCGAATAAAAATAGAAAAAAAAACGTGGTCAGTAGTTTAGAGTAATACAAAAATGTTAATTTTACTCCAACATATAGCTGTGAAAAACAAAACCAGAGAAAGTGAACATTTTGCGGTGGCCATCAGACTCGAACAGTCTGCTCTCATGTGTAGGTGATGTCATCAACCTTGGCGACAGGCAGCTGACGGTGCTTCACATGCCGGGCCACTCGCGGGGCAGCATCTGCCTCCACGACGGCGACAACAAGCTGCTGTTCAGCGGCGACGTGGTGTACGACGGCGCCATGATCGACTGGCTGCCGTACAGCCACGTCAGCGACTACGTTGGCAGCTGTGAGCGCCTGGTGGGCCTGGTGGACAGCGAACAGGTAACATTCGATCCATCTAAGACACACTTGTTCGGTCAGCTGTTGACACCAAGTACCATCTTGAGAGGAAAAAAAAGGCCGCTGAGTAAATAGATAAAGTCATCACATGAAAATCAACACAAGAACAAGTGCTCCCCCCCGCCCATTGTTATCAAACGTGACTCTACACTGCATGAAGAATTTCAGTGAAATGGTTTGAAAAGGAGAATCCGAAAATGCAAATAAACGTCCTTGTCCGAGCAGGTGGATCAAGTCCTTCCGGGGCACTACAACACCTTCGGCGCCAAACGCCTCCACCGCATCGCCAGCTCGTACATCAGCAGAGCGGAAACGTGCCCGGCCAAGTTGTCCACTTGGGCGTGGAGGATGCTAGCCGGCGTGGCGCTCAGGGTGGCCCACCCACTCGGCGGCTGCTGATTGGACGCCCGGAGAGCACGCGCACATGCACAGAACAAGTCTTAAAAATAATTCCAATATAATCGTTGCCAAACTTTCTGTACACGGTATGTTGTCACTGGATTACATGAAGAATGAAGCCGGATGTGATTCGATGACATTCTAATGATGTGTTGCTTGGGGTTGAGATACATTAACTTGATGTGTGTGCTTTTTTTTTTTTTTTTAAACTTATCTAATATATGTATTGCACATGTGAAATTACAATAGCACAAGCACTGAGTTATTGAAGGAGATTCAAAATGGCTGTAGTATTTGTCTATGCATACAATCAGCATCTGCTACCTCCCATGTTTGCAACAGTGCTTTGTACGATCGGCGGTTTTTAAGGCTCGGCACGTTCAGCGCTGACAATAAAGCAGCCTCTGTCCTACCTTCCTTTTTGAGACATGTTTTGCATACTTTTCATCCTCACGTAAGATGACTCCCCAGGGGCTTTGCTGCCAGAGAAGAATAACAAGGCACTTTATTGTCCTCCATTTTAATGGCCTTTGCGGCTTAAAATGTGTGTTGTTGTTAAGAATGGGCGTACCAATCTTTAAATTGATCATGAAGAATTCTGTCAGTAGTTGAATTCTGCATCATGTGACAAATTGGAGTGCAATGCTTTGCTGCAACCACCAGAGGCGCTGTTGATTTAGGCTGAACTCATTTGTGGTCGAATCATTAGACCACAAATGAGACATGTTCTTGTTCATTAGACTCTAATGAACAAGAACATGACCTCAGTTTTGCTAAATTGAGGAATTATTTATGATGGTAACACTATTCTGATCAACATAAATGATGTACATGAAAATTTAGAGTTGGGTTTAATTCAACTGAGGAAAATTAATTGTAACTTTTAAATTACAATTACAATTAAATTACAAAGTGTTTTTTTTCACAGATCCTATTCCATCCCAATAAGACAAATGACGTCCACGTTAAATTGATAATCCATTTATTATTAATAATCACAATTGGATAGTCACACACTTCTCGTGCCTCCTTGGGTGGTTTACATGCAGAAACACGAAGGCTGCCACAAGAAATAACTCTTGCATCGTTGTAACAGTCAACCTATGATCATGACAGATAATTGTCAGTATAGCTGCAAATCATCCACAAGAATGGATTACACAGATAGAGCAAGGATATCTTATTTGTTAACTTATCAAAAAAAAAATATACAAATAAGTACAGTAACAAATGCCACTTGCAAGCATTTGACAGTTATTTTCAGTCACAATTGGAAAATGGATGTCTGCCTCTGTTGTAAACTCTGTTGATGAAGAGTGCTGTCTCAGCCGGGATTGAACAGGCAAAAAACGTAGTTTGTTCTAAAACGCTGAACCTGAATGAAATTTGTTCAGCCAGGTTTATAGTTGCTTATAATTTATGGATGTATTTTCACATTTAAAAGGACAGTTAGAGAATATATTATGGCTTTTCACTCGGTTCAGACAAAAATGGATGCAGCCAAAACTGTTCCGTGGAAAAGGGAAGTGAACGCACCGTTGACTCACTTTGTTTGATGTGGTTAAAAAAAAAAAACAACAACAACAACAACAAAAGAAAAATGAGACAGATAAACTGTACAAAATGGACATTGAAACCAGAGATGCTTTGATAAAGCATTAGTTGAGGGATGTTCATACAGTATTTATGCAACCAGGCCATTCTACATTTTTACATCTAACAGACATACGGTACTGTGGTTATTTTTCAAACTGAATAATAATAATAATAATAATAATAAGACCATGACGTACATGGTCTTATATTTCAGAGAAAAAAAAAAACAACTATTTTTATATATGAACTGTTAAACAGGGGCATGTTCATGTTCTACTTTACCAAGGATGGTTAAAGCCACACTGAAAAAAAAATCCAAGTTTAACATTTTAGGAGACAAACACCAAAATGACAACAAAGGGAGAAGGGGGAAGGGGGTGGGGTGGTCTTTTACAAGAAGGTAATCAGACTCTTACTTCAGCAACTTATCAGTGCAGAAAAAAATGAACTTGCAATGATAGCAAATGAAGCAAAAATATTACTACTAGCTCAATGGTAGTATTGTGTCGATCAAGTTATACGTACGGTACGTTTGACAATGACGGTCAGTGATGTCCCATAGGGAATTTGCCTTGTTGGGGGATTTTTCCATGCAGATGAATAAAAGAAATTATACATATAAATATTTGGTTGACTGGGTTGGGAACGAAAATAAAACCTCTTGTTTGATCTTTCATCATCTAACTATAACTTTATTGAATAAATGTATGTTCAAATTTATGGTGTGGCCCTATGCCTCCTTCTGTAAACAGCCAGATTTTATCATTTGAACCCTTTGAAGCAATCACAGTAATGACCAGTGATGAACAGCTTCATGTCATCAAATCTGAAACATATGAGATGTCAGCCAAATCACGCAAGTTAAAAATAGCAACAATATCTCCTGGTGCAGTGTAGTGGAGTGACAGCAGATCGTTCTTGTGTGTGAGTATTCTTCAACAGTTACATATCACAGTACTGGCAAGAGACAGTGACCCTTTAAGAGCAGGGGTGTCCAGACTTTTTCTTCCAAGGGCCCCATGCAGAAAAATCAAAGGATGCAAGGTCCACCTTGATAATTCTTCACCTTCCGATTATTTGACGCGCTTAAACCAAACCATCAGCGCGGGTAAAGATAAATAAAGCAATTATAAAATGCTTTTATATATTACTGTACGGTATATACATTTCCATTACAAGCGCACACTGTGCTAAGATGGCCCTTGACGCAGGGCAGAAAGTGGAGCAAACAATTGGCATTTACGCAAGTTGCTGCCGTACCTGAATCATCTTTATTCATTTTGTGGCGAGTGACGTGGGAACCAATTTCTTCTTCTTCTCCTGCTCTGTCAGCAAGTTTAGAAAACAAAAGGTACAATGGTGTCTTGAGATAAGAGTTTTATTCATTCCGTATCTAAGTTTGGAACGTACCATATTTGTTCACGTCAGCATCCGTCATGGGCCGGAAATGGCCCCCAGACTGTAGTTTGGACACCACTGCTTTCGAGGCATTCCATCACACGCTCACTCATATTGACGACATACATACTAGACACCTTTGTTAGTAAAACGCTTTTCAGTCACAACAAAAATGCTAGTGAATGAACAGAGATGACAATGATGGTGAAGCCAGGATGGAGAAATGAGTCAAAGGTAAATTCCAGTTTGAAATGGGGAAAAGTCGACAGGTGCTCCCAAGCAGCACGACCCCAAACCTCGCAAAATGGGCCAATAGCTCCCAGTGATTGTCACCAGTATCGCGGAAGAGCCTCCTCGGATTGAGGTCACACCTGACTTTGGAGCCAGTTGCGGGGGTCCAGTCTGGCCTTGAGGTTCCTGAGGCTGCGTCTGGCCGGCGAGGGTCGTGAGAAGGCGGCGCACTCTGACAACTCCGGGCTCTGTCCGCCCTCGCTGTTGCTGGAGCTACTGCTGGAGGTGGAGCTGGAGCAGGACAGCGTGGTCTGGGTGCTGCGCTGGGACAGCGGCGAGCAGGACGAAGCGGGAGCCCGGCAGGGGCAGTGGAAGGCGCCCCCTCCTGTGTAGCCTCTCCCCCGCAGCGTGCTCAGCTTGGCGTCCAGCGAGAGCGTGCGTGGCCTCAAGCGGGATTGGGATGACAGGGAGAAGGGCGGGGTGTCGGGCCAGCCGTGGTGGTGCGAGCAGGGGCTGGTGCTGCAGTGGCTGTCGCTGTCGGACGTCAGGCTGGCGTCCGAGGACAGGAGAGCCCGCGGAGGGCTGGCGGGGCTCCGCGAGAGGCGGTGGGGATTGAGGGGGCCGTGGCCCGCCAGGCGAGAGGTACACGGATGAGGCAGGCCGACGCTTTTGGGGTGGTTCTCCTCAAAGAAGGACATCCAGGTGGGAGAGGTGCCCAGCTGGCTACGCAGCTCCAACTCCTGCATCCTCCGGGCCAACATGTCGGACACGCTGCTGCCAAACTCGTCAGAAGACTCAATAACTGGAGAAGAGACGCGAGAAAGACGTCAGTGCTGAGCTCGTTTGCACCTTCTTAAAATGTAGACATGAGGCCAAAACTATTCAAAGCCTGGCAACATTTTCATCAGTTGAATCAATATGAATATGAATCAGTTCGCAAAAGAATCACTGACGAAGCTCAATTAAGTTGCTTTTAACTTCATTTCCGACAGAGCAATTTCACTGGACAAGTGACATTCCGTATTGTGTCCCTCTGCCTCACAGGTGTTCTAAAATCCTTTGGCCAACGTAAACGGTCAGTGGTGAACTATTATTACTTTGCGTTGCAAAAAAACAGACTTCATTCCAGAAATAATATTTGATTTAAAAGTACGAATGATTGTCCGATGAGGACAAATGCCTTAAGATGTCACTGTAAACCTCTAAGTGTGCTAAGGTGATTAAATCACACATGAAGCAGGAATGGACACTCAGCCGACATGCTGACACAGCTAACAAGTGCACTGTCGGCGCGCTAATTGGCTTTACTGTGCACTTCGGGACGACTTTGGGTAAATTTTGCTCGTCTTGGACCACGACGCAAAATGACAAAATAGCGTAACGCGATTTGACATGAAATAGACTAGTTTAACTGTGAAAATTTAAGAGTCAATGAGGCACTGCCACTTTAACTAGTTAGCATGTTGTGCTAATGGCGAACTCCGTTGCTACTATTTGTTGCAATTTGAGTTGGCGTGCAAAAATGACTGATTAAACAAACAAACCACAATTTCTTGTTGCTTAAATTTAAGATGCCACAAGAGGGTGCCACAACCATGTAAAAATCATAAAGTAGTACAATCGTGTCAAGGATCTATATTCAAGTGATAAACTGGACCGAGAGATAGTGTTGTATGTCGGGGAGGAGCTAAATTTAGCTTGGTAGCTATTAATTTAAGTAAATAAAAATACAGGGGGTGTCAATTATTCCCTTCTTTTTCTTGCCCTTTGCGGCAGGGCTTTTTTCTAGTCTGGTACATATTTTTTTTAACCATCTCTTAGTACATGTATGTAAAGTGGTCAGACCTCATCATCACACGGGCTCCTCCTACTCCTGCTACGTCACCTGTCGTTGTAATAGGATGAGAGAAGAGCCCGAATCTCGGCGGACACAGCATTGTCTTGCAGCAGAAGACCCTCACAGGAGGGTGCGGCAAGGGGGGCTGTCGGCAGTATTTAGGAACAGCCGAGTGGTGGTGGTGGTGGTGGATTGGGGGAGGGGGAGGTTGGTCGGGAGGAGGGGTGGGGAGGTGTTGTGCAAAAACAGAAACGATGGAGAGGATGGGAAGGTTGACCAAGGTAAATGAGTGGGTGCAGTTTGGCGGATGAAAACATGTTGGAGGGTCAAAAGAAAAGGTAAAGGGGACAAAGGAGTGGCGAGCACACGGGGCCAAAGGAGCAGAGAAAATAGGACAGAGTGAGTCACAGTCTCGAGTCGAATAGAGCAGAACAGAAAAGCAGATTGTTAAGCCGGCGATATCAGACACCCAGCACTCCGCCATGCACACGGGCACGTGATTCGATGCAAATGTCGTACCCATTTCGTGGTAAAGGGAGCCCTGCTTCGGCGTGACGGGGGCCGGTTTCCGTGGTGACGGCTGTTCAATTTTCATCAAGTCATCGCAGCACTGCTTCCACTGACCTGAGCGATGGAAATGAGACATTTTTTTTAAATATATGAAGCAATCAGCCGACAAGTTTGCCCTTGGGAAGGACACCACAGTTAAGAGGGCCCTGAATGTCAGTTTTTATTTATGTCACATGAAGCAATCAAAACCCGAGCGATGATGAAATTGACAAGTACTTACTCATGTCGTAGAAGTGTTGCCAGAAGGCCTCCATCCACCTGTGCGTCTCCTCTCGACTGTCTGTGGTGAGCATGTGCGTGACGTCTTCGCCGCCGTACTGGTTGCTGATGCAAACGTTCTGAGCTTTGCCCTGAGCGTCCTTCTCCGACACGCGTATCCTCGTCTCCTGAAGGCATTGAAAAAAAAAAAAAACCCCACACACAATCAGCTTCCACAAAAATGACTCCCATTAGTCTTCCTTCATCCAAACCATAAATTGCCCTTGTGGAATTTTCCTCCCAAATGTATTTCATAAATTCACTAGATGGCAGTGTTGCTCCATTTATTTCCTCCCCTCCTCATCTTAAGTGCTGTTTTCAGAGGCACCAGACAGTTGACAAAAGATGGACTCTAAGAGCCAAGAAACGTCAGCGTGAGTCACAGTGGAAATACAGAGATGGCGTCTACGTTACGCATGATTAGAATAGTTATCGGAAATACAGTAACCGCTGATGAGAGGGTCGTGACGCATCATTAATATGGTCAACAAAGATGAAATGACTCAAGATTAGAACAGATTGTTTCTTTATAAGGAGATTGTTGATTTTTGTTTCAGACCTTGTTGATGGCGATGGTGAACGCCGGATCCACGCTGTCCTGGATGTCTTTTTGTTGTTGATAGCAGGAGAGGCTGGTTCCTTTCAGGACTGCATACACGTTGGTCCAGCTGTGTGGTCCACCTCCCAACTGCTGCGTGAACAATATGAGATGCCGTGCTTGTGTCAAGATGGAGTTGTTTTTGCTGTTGTTGAGTTGCGTCATACACAAAAAGAAAGCTCTGGAAATCAGTGATCAAGGGCTTTTAACATCAGCGATATGAGTCAAGATGGTTTGTTGCAAATGGATTTTGGACCTTGACGTTTTGACACAGTGCCACACACTGAGCGATGTGGCCGCAGTGTGTGGGATTTGACAGCTACTTTTTTATCAATGGCCAACCATCGGACGCGAATCAAAAAGTACAGTTTATATTTTGTGTATTACACTAATACTTAACTAGACTTTACATGATTAAATATAAAGTATTATAAAATAATATTTAACCTCATAATTTCATAGGCACCTGTGGATGAAAAAACAGTGTGGAGCGTTTGACATGCAATCCATGAATGGAGCCAACAGCCTAAGAAATACTCTCCTTTAATTCCTGGCCCATATCTTATCTTTGTATTATTATGGCCACAGTGACGAGGGCAATCCACTTCTTCCTTGAAAATCACGCTCTGTAGATCAACAGCAAGATAATGCAGTACGGTGTACACTATGGGGTTCCTCGGACTGTTTTTAAGGTGACACAATGGTTTTATTTCCATTTAAGTCTCAACAATCATGAAAAGGGTTTTGTGGTTGCCTTACAGTACACGACTGATCTTTGCCTCACCACTACCTAAGGTTCCATTAAAATCAGTGAATGAGTTCTTTTTTTTTTTTTTTTTTTGTCTGGCTTTCCGACAGGATGAAAGCGTAAATCTCCTTGCCAGAGGCAAAAAAAAAAAAAAACAACAACAACTTGGTAGCCGCAACAAGGAAGGTGAAGCTTTGAAGGAAAAGTGCACAGACAAAATGGGCAAACAAACATTTTACTCCATCTTACCGACACTTTCAAAGGTCCACTCATCATCTGCCGGGTCATACACTGAGGCTGGGCTGCAAGGCGGCAACACACGCTTCCATAGAGGGGCAGCCAGTATGAACACTCTTCTACACGCATACAAACAGAAATACGCACCATTTAATACAGCGCATGAAAGTCCACCCACAAACATGCTCTCCAGGCGGACAATGTCGGCATGAAGACAAAAACTCGAGGCGCAGAGGTGTAAAAGAGTGGCAGCTGCAGGGCTCGGTGGCAACGAGCACCAATGAAAGCTTTACAGGACAACTGAAGAATAAAAAACAGCGGGGACCCTTGTTATCACTTCAGCTTCACACTGCAGTCACCTCTCTGGAACAGCTTTTATTCCCGTGACCTTGGACTACGGGGAAGGAGAGTGGGGGGGGGAAAGTGATGCAGCACAATGATGAAGAGTGCAGCGAGGCGGCGACACGAAAAGCTCGACAAAAAGGGGAACGAATGACAGATGGCTGATTTGGCAAGAGGAGGGGATGGGAGAAAGACAGACTGATGGAGGTCGACACTCACCGTTGCCTGAGATGGTGAGGTCGTGCGTACGGAAACTGTCCTGGGCGTGTGACAGCGACAGGGTGGTGTGAGCCAGCAGGTGGTACTTGGGGCCTCTGGGGACAGATGAAAATGACCATAAATGAGAGTCATAATAATAAAATTTAAAAAATACAGATTATTAACTTGTGAGGTCGATAGTCATTCCGCTTCGTGATCTTTTCATTATGCAGGCGAGGTACTTTTCTCTGACATTTGTCCTCTACCTCCATGAAAACGTTTCACCCAAGCAACTTTAACAATTCAAGCATTGTATCTTGCTCCATCCATTTGGTATCGTATACTGGTGACACAGTGAGGTATGTCATCGTTAGAAATGCAAACACTGACATAGCAAACTGAATTGAACAAGGCAGGAAAAAGTCTTTTGTACCCTCTCATTTGATGTTGAGCTTTTGCAGAAGGCATCACACTTACGGCACAGAAGGAACGGGCAGCAGGAGAGGAGAGGCCCCTCCATTGCTCACTGGGCTGCACGGCCCGGGCTCCATGGCCGCCCGCAGTTTCTTCCCAGCCGAGCGACCCAAGGAGGAGCTCAGCTTGCTGGCCAGCTTCCTGGGGGTGCTCCCGGCTGAGAAGTCGTCCTCTGAGCAGCAGCTGTACAGCTCCACGCGCAGCTCGAAAGCGGGGCCGGCTTCACTGCTGTCACAGGGCGAGCACAAGAGAAAAAAAATAAATAAAAAATCAGCTTCACTCTCTTGAATCCAGTGTTTTCGTTGCTGGCTTGGGTTGAGGGGAAACCGGCGTGTAACTTACAACACAATGGTGTTGTCGAAGCAAATGTCCGTGAGCGTGCGGTCCACGATCACCATGTCCGTGTCGAAGATCTCTCCTCCTAACTGCAGGAGGCAAAAGACTGCACAGCGATGGAGCTCTGCAAGGGAGAAGGTCGATACAGTGATTGCCTTTCTTGCTTGGAAAGCTTTATGCTTGCTTTTCGGGAAATAGACACACGAGAGAAAAGGTAGACTATGAATTGAGCACCAAGACGTATGCAGACTTGGACCAGCTATTTTAAAAGAAAATTGTAATCCACAATAACAGACTCACCTTCCCCCAAAATACTCTCTCTCACTCATTACCTCAAATAAGAATTCAACACTCTGCTTCGACGCACGTGTATGACACGAGGGTGTCGCATGGTTTCCTCGTCTTTGCCTCACGGGCTCAGACTGTGTCTCGGTGCGCCTACTGACCTCATTAAGCTTTGTTAAAAGTCCACCACCTGTCTCCTGGGTTCATTTGTACTTAGTATGTGCAGGGCCGCGCCGATTATTTCCGTCGGCGTTGCCGAGAGACTGCGCCAAATTAGCTTCCTCAGGAGGATGTCAGCTATAAGCGGAAGGTCATTGTAAAGACCAATGTACAAAGTACAACCTGTGTGCTGAGTGAATTTCTTTCAAGCAAAACGTGTTGACTTGTACTTTTTATTCACTCAATAAACTACGACCCATTTTACCGCAGGTGTGCTCCTTCACATCGCCGGGAGGCAAAGCTGCGTTTTTTTCTCAAGTTGAGAATTACAAAAAACTGAAAAAAAAAACATGGCTACCAAAGAATGAGGTGCACCACTAATGGGACACTTGGCCCCACCCCGCGAGGAGTTGCGAAATTCACGGCGCAGTGAACGCATCAATCGGAACCAGAAACATGAACAAACAACAACAGTGAAGGAAAATGGGGCTCTCGGGACACAGTTTGGCGATAAACTGCACGCCAGGGGAGACTGACGGCAGCAAAAAAAGAAACTGTTACCGGCAAAGAAAAGATTGTAGAGCTCCAATACTGATCCAGAGCTACGGCGTAGGCTAAAGTTAGCATGCGTCTACATTTCAAATTCATAGTATGGAGTGACACGTCCAAACCCGACTGAGCAGCCGCGCGGTGTTCAGCCTCTCGTTGTCACGAGAGGCCAACTAGGCCACCAAGTTATGCCGCGAGTCCAAATTTGAATCACATGTGAACGGTGTCGTAGCTCTGCAGATATAACAGCCGATGTAGAACGTTATGTTCGGTCACCTCTCTTTGGATTATGCAATCGCTACAGTGGTCAGGGCAATCGCAGGAAGAACAGCAGTCAAGGATTTGACTCACTTATGTCACTTTTAAGCCGTGTCGAGCGGTGCGAGAACTGCACGTTGACTAATTTGTCGCGTGTTGCTTGATCTTTTGTTCATCCGTGCCTACAAAAACACGGGGTCCCCATACATGATCGCACAGCGACGGCTGCTCACCTCCTTTGTTCTTGAAATACTCGGTGTCCTTCCACATGAGCGGTATACGGAGATCTGTCATGACAACAACACGCAAGGATTAGATTCCAAACATGTACATCACTAGCGCTCTGTGTTACAAGATAAACTGTATCGTGTGCTGTGGTATACGGAGATCTGTCGTGACAACAACAACACGCAGGGATTAGATTCCAAACATGTACATCACTATCGCTCTGTGTTACAAGATAAACTGTATCGTGTGCTGGTGTGCGTGAGACATAACTCGCACACTGGTTAAATAAACCCCCCCCTGAAGGACTCGAACCGCGTCCCCCTTATTGTCGTGCTCCCTGGCGTGAATGATGTATGCGTGAGACATAACTCGCACATGAGTGCCCCCCCCCCCGAAGGAATCGAACTGCGCCCCCCTTATTGTCGTGCTCCCTGGCGTGAATGATGTCGCGATGAGACAAGCAGTGGGCTCCACTCGATAATCATTCATTTTTTCGCCCTTACCGTCGATGTGATGGGCGGAGCGAGAGTGTCGGCACGCTCGCCGAGGTCAATAAACGTTGAAGTATGCGCTAATGAAGAGTCGGTGTGCCAGAATCAAATTACACTCGGCGTAAGAATAAATTAGACTTTCTCCCTTCTGCTCCGCTAAGATGGAGGATTAGAAGAATGCTGTAGCTTCTACAGCGGCGTTCTGTCTATCCGTACATCTATAGTATCTATTTATAGTATCTATCCATCAATTCATCGATCTCTGCCTTTATAACAGGCTATTCCAGCTGTGTTACGATCTTCATAACCTGTAAAAATGTTTACAGGTCATTTTGCGTCAAAGATGCATATATTGCCTATCTGCGTGTGTTCTTACCATTAGAATTTGTTTAAAGTGTTTAAGTGAGGAGTCCAGACACGAACCGTGCTCTCCACTCGATAATCATTCATTTTTTCGCCCTCACCGGCAATGTGATGGGCGGAGTGAGAGTGTCGGCACGCTCGCCGAGGTCAATAAACGTTGAAGTATGCGCTAATGAAGAGTCGGTGTGCCAGAATCAAATTACACTCGGCGTAAGAATAAATTAGACTTTCTCCCTTCTGCTCCGCTAAGATGGAGGATTAGAAGAATGCTGTAGCTTCTACAGCGGCGTTCTGTCTATCCGTACATCTATAGTATCTATTTATAGTATCTATCCATCAATTCATCGATCTCTGCCTTTATAACAGGCTATTCCAGCTGTGTTACGATCTTCATAACCTGTAAAAATGTTTACAGGTCATTTTGCGTCAAAGATGCATATATTGCCTATCTGCGTGTGTTCTTACTCCAGCTGTGTTACGATCTTCATAACCTGTAAAAATGTTTACAGGATTGTACTTTAAATTTCTAAAAAGGTACAGTTAGAAAATGAATAAATATAAAAACAAAATGGTTTGTGGGTAATTATTTCATGCTTTAATTCAATGAGCAATGTGTGTCTGTTACGTGCGCATTGGCCACAGTACATAAAGACAATACTACACATACTGTTGATTTGAATAGGAACAAAAAAGCCCATCCCAAGCCACAATAATATTCGTCGTTTTGCGTCGAAGATGCATATATTGTCTCTCTGCGTGCGTTCTTACCATTAGATGTTGTTTAAAGTGTTTAAGTGAGGAGTCCAGACACGAACTGTACTTGCCCGATATGGCCACTTTGCCTTTGCACGGTAGTCTGTCGTCCATGGGCCCCGCGTCGGACGACCTGCGCGTCACCTTCTGCATGACCTGCGCCTCCTTCATCTTCTGCAACTCGGACATGTAGGCCATGATGCGGGTGCTGCACGTCTGCAGGCTCTTGGCCGCCTCCAAGGCCTGATCTCGCTGCGAGCAGGCGGCCAGCAGCTTGCAGGCCCCGTCGCGCATTCGGATCTCATGGTCGATTTTTCTTTGGATGTCGCTGTCCTACAAAAGGAAGGAAATGACTGTTTGTTTGTTTTTTTTAAATGTAAATATAAACATATGTCAAATCAATACCTCCGTGTCAGTCAAATGTGAGCACTCTTGACTGATGGTTAGTTGAACACAAAGCAATTATTCTATTGTCTGACACAACATATCGGCGCCGACAACGATGCAAAATCACAATCATGTATCGAAATAGTCACGTAGAAAGTTGTAACGGTGAACTCAAAGCAGCTTTTGTAATAGCGTGCCCCCCCGCCCCCGACCGAATACTAAAATCGACCAGATCTATAATTGAAGTGAATGAAATATTGAAAGACATCGAAAATGTGTTTCTTTGCCCACACGCTGGCGTGTGAAACCATCGCTGCTAAATTCTTCATCTGTACAAAAACACAAACCCCCAAGCTGCTTTCTCAGAGGCTTAAACGACGATGTTGATATTCGTGACATCAAAATCACGTTGCCATGAACCCTGCACGCGGTAGCGAGTAGGCACACAGCGCGGCTCCCTCCTACTGTGATGGTGGCCAAGCTTCCACACCACTTTGTTCACGCCACCGAAAGACTCATGCAAAAAAAAAAAAAAAAAAAACGGTGAACAGTGGAGAAGAGAGGGTGAACTCAAAGCAGCTTTTGTAATAGCGTGCCCCCCCGCCCCCGACAGAATCCTAAAATCTACCAGATCTATCATTGAAGTGAATGAAATATTGAACAGACATCGAAAAATGTGTTTCTTTGCCCACACGCTGGCGTGTGAAACCATCGCTGCTAAATTCTTCATCTGTACAAAAAGACAAACCCCCAAGCTGCTTTCTCAGAGGCTTAAACGACGATGTTGATATTCGTGACATCAAAATCACGTTGCCATGAACCCTGCACGCGGTAGCGAGTAGGCACACAGCGTGGCTCCCTCCTACTGTGACAGTGGCCAAGCTTCCACACCACTTTGTTCACGCCACCGAAAGACTCATGCAAAAAAAAAAAAAAAACGGTGAACAGTGGAGAAGAGAGGCTTTAAAGTGGCGCACGCTGTGCTAAGAGATTTAACAAAGAGGCTGCAGACGCGACGCCGAGGCGACCTGAAGTGACCTTGAATCAGCACCGGGAAGTGATTGTAAAGAAATGGCGGCAAAATGAGCTGATCTGCTGCAGGAAACAAACGTGAGTGCAATTGTTAACTCGGCTGTAATTCTGCCGCTTGGTGTGCGTGTGTTGGTTGGTTGACTTCAGCGCTGCAGTGGCAAGCGCACACAATTAATCTCCCGTGCCCTCTGCTTCTCTCTGCTCGCTTCCCCTCCTTTGACTCCAACTTTTATCATCCGTCCTCCTCCTCCTCCTCCTCCTCCTCGTCTCCATGCCTTTATATGAATTTTTCATTCTTTTCATTTCAGCTTTCCGGCTCTCCTTGCTCATTTTCACCTCCGCCCCTCGTCAGTTCCACTTCACTGTTCTCAGGAAAAAATAAATAAAAAAATCCTCTACCTGCCTGTACAAATCTTGCCTGTTGTTCAATGACAGGCTCGGTCGGCAAGAGGGTGAATGCGGGTTGGACGTTGCACATTCTCGCTTGGACACAGTGAACTTTCAATTTGGCTCACCAAGAGCGGCGCTGCCTGGTAGCGAGCGCATCCAAAAGAGCAGTAAATCACGCGAAAGATCAAAATACACTCCCAGGCACAGAGGCCAAACCACTAAACACTGTCATTGGGACGTGCAATCGAGTAGCGGGAGAAGATGAAACCAAATGTACACACACAAGTCTTCAAAACCTTGAATTTTCAGACAATCTATTGCTGAATGTATTCTCTCTGAAGAAGGAGCCCGTTATTTACAATTGTATGAAATTCTTTGCCCCATGGGATGCACTCAGACCATTGTTTTCCCCAGTACAAGTTGTTACCGATACCAAGTACTGATACCTGACGCAATTTCAGTCAGGATGATTCTATTTACCCGACTTTCAATGCCACGGCTTTGTGTTCAGATAAATGAAGTGAAATCTCCGCGACAAACTAGTTGCTTGTTATTGATGATACGAGGGTAGCCTGTACGACCGGAGACAAATTCCTTGTGTGTTCTACATACTTGGCCAATAAAGATGATTCTGATTCTGAAAGTATCGTCCCCCCCGTGTTTACCTCCGAATATCTCCACATGACTGACATTGCTCCTCCTGCTTGATATCGCATTCGTGAAATGGTATCGGCGTACAGTATCTGAGTATTATTATGAGTCGCAATACTGTGGCAGATGTACGGTATCGGCACCGATACGGATAATGATTTCTGTTTCGGCGTATCCTACTTGCCTACTGGAGAGCAACAACACAGAAAGAAAAAAAAAAAAACATGTTAGGATTCATTCATTGACTATCGAGCATTTGTAGCTCCTTAGATCTTAAAAAGAAGCCAGAAACTGTTTGTCCAGTTGGGATGGAATATTCATGATCACATATATCAAAGTACTATGGCAAGACGCAATCAAAAATATGGAAAAGAAAAAAAAAAGCAGCACAGCGTTTGATCCACTTCATAGAAAAGCAAAGCATATTTTTTTTTTACAGCAGTACACCAGTAGAATCATTACCGATGCCGGGAAAAAAATTAAAAATCGTATGATATTGCACGATGTATGGCACGCTCTTATTTGGCTCCTTTGAAATGAGCTGCATCGGAAGGATAATGAGCGAAAGCCCCGGCTCAGACTGTATGAGGATGAGCCCAGTTGGAGCAGGTCTAAGCGTGACCCGCTATGCGGAGGTCCTGTATTTATAGCCGCTTAATTAGCGGGCTTTTCCTTCTGGGCATCTCGGAATAGAAGACAAATAGCCGAGATCTCACACTAAGCCTGAAGCTAAACGAGCAACACCACCTGATACCAGATGAGAGATAAACCTATCAAACACAGTTTACACACACTTACATGCACACACATGCACATAGTGATTTTTTTGGGGGTGGGGGGGTTAAAATGAGCTGCATATTTGGCACTGCGGCAACCATTTTCATTGAAAAAAAAAAAGATTTCTGCCCTTCATTTAACATTATACCATCCTCTGCTATAAATAACCAAAATATCATGTCTTTCCTTTGTTTTGGTACAAAGAAGCATTGGCACAATGATACTGTTTGCTGTGTTGGGTCTGTCTCAGTCACAGACTGAGACTGCTGTTTTCTTCTCTGATCAAAACAATGCTGTCTTCTACTCTGATCAAAACAGTGTGCCGCCTAGTGGATAATCCATGAATTGCATTTTATGAAAAATCTTCATTCCGTGTCTTTAGTGCATTTTTTCACTTTTAAATTATCCTGCGGGCCGGATCGAACCTCATTGGGGGCCGGCTCCGGCCCGCGAGCCGTATGTTTGACACCATGTTTTAGTATTATCTTCCTCGTCACAAAAAAAATATCAACCAACCGTGATACTATTTAATCTCAAACAGCAAAACAAACTCGGTGAAATAGCTTTGTTTTTTTTTTTTTTTCTCCAAACAAAAATGTGCGTTGAAAGTATGCAACACTGAGGCAAGAGTAAGCCTTGAGTGGGAACTTCGATGTTACGGTCAATACCAGATGGTCACTTGCTCAGTGACCTCTCGTGTCTCCATCTGGTCATGTTGTGTTTGTGTTGATCCTTACGTGTGTGATCTTACACACTAGCACACGACATCCGCGCAAAACGTACCAGTGTTGGTTTTGGGATTCGACGCCCCCGCAGATGGCATTTACTGGATCGTTTACGATCTCCTGTTCTGCGTGAGCGGACTTTCCCGGTTGGATCAGTGACCCTTCCACTTTGACCTGTAACCCCGGACCAGATCACACAGTTCAAGTGAAAGCTAGGCCGTAACTGCAATAAATTACACTCCTCGGGGAGAAAAAAAAATGCTCATTGAAATAATTACTACAAGCCACTGCAGCATATTTTACAGTACAAGCACATTTTTTTGGCCATCTATGTCGCAATGGTGTGGAATTGGAGGCAGTATAGAATAAACGTGAGGAGTTGATGTAATGCAAACAAACACTCTTTTCCCATGGTGGAAATACACATTTATGGGATAAGTGTACAGTATATTGTTTGTGCTGTGTCCAAAAATGACATAGACTTTACAGGGGGACTTCACAGACCAGCGTGCCGGCTTTCAATCAGCCGGCCACAATTATGTGCCTCGCCTTCCACTCCACCCTCTTCCTCTCCAACACCCACAAGCGCAGTTAGCAAAGCGGTCCGTGAGCTGAGCACCAAGTCCGACTGGGACAACGGTGACGCCGAGAAAACAGAGACCACAGAGCGGGAGGGAGCAAACTCAGTCGAACATCAGACGTCATCTAAATACAACTTTAGTTCGACCCGTTGACGCGTCACTTAAGCGTATTCATTCCGATGCTGCAAAGTGAAAGCATAATGCTTCGGACACCTTGTTCGCCACCGTGTGCTGTGGTGTCTTCTCGTTTTGACTTCCTGTTATATTTGCATGACGGGGTGTCATGTTACAATGTAACAGAAGCACCACGTGGATCCTGGAACATTTTAATTCACTGAGTCAAACGCTTCCACTTACGCTACTGCGTCTTTGACGGCCGTGCGTCCAACAATACTTTGCTAATGAATAACAGACGTCACAGCTTGGCACCGGATAAGGCGAAGCTAACAAACATGCGAGGCGAACGAACCCCCACAGGAGTCATAAACTATGTTCAAATTCCCATCACAACATCCCTGCGGTGTTGTAGATCGCAGCTGCTGTTGGGATGCCAGGACAAAGTGGAGCAGAAAATAGAGGTTTACTAGTTTGGACTGGAAAATTGCGATTGGCTGGCAACCAGTCCAGCATTGACCCTACATCTCGCCCAAGGTCAACCAAGATAAGTGACAGCACAACTGCGAGGAGAACCGCTTTAGAAAATGAACGAATGGACCGATGGTCGATAGCAGAACACACGATAGGGCGTTCGAGATTTGCCGCTGAGGTCACTTCCTTTCCTACTGTCAAT